TAGGGTCCATAAAGAAGCACCTGAAACTTTTTTCTTCTAAATTCCAAAGTCTAAAAATAATTTATAATATCCTTTATCCTACCAAAAAGTACGCCACTGATCGACTAGGAACTTTAGGCTAATCTGGTTAATTTATTATGTTATGGTTGGTAACAACATGGTTTCCAAAATCTGTCAAAAAAGTTGACAAACATTGTTTAAATTTAGCTTAATTGCAAAAATTTGCAATTGCATTGTTAATTTTGTCATTAATGACAAAATTAACAATGCAAATTGTCAATTTGGCGTTTTTATTAATTGTTGGTTATGTCATTTTTGTACTGAAGGTAAATTCAAACAAAATCTGCCAACTTTTATGGCAGAATCTAGTGCATTTCTTTCAAATTTTAGGTTATGTGCTCAAATTGTAAATATCTTAACTAAGGGAAGTGCTTTTGGATTTATTTACACAAATTAAATGTTTAAAGTTTAACCTGTGAACTGGTCCCAATTTCATCTGAGTAAACAGAAAGAAAAAAAATTAAGAAAAAATTAATTTTGTGGTTATGGATTTTTTAAAATAGGTAGGTACTACATTTTCTAATCATTGCTTAAGCTAATAGCTGGATGAGTAAATAAATACAGAAGGGTGTTAGCAGTAGCGTGCAAAGGTGATCGGGGGCCCCCCCGCAAATTTTGAGCTGGGGCCCCTTTGTCACTTATACCACCCAATGTGGTTCTCTACGGGGCCCCCCTAAGGTCGGGGGCCCCCCCGCACCGCGGGCCCTGCGGGGCCCGTCCTACACGCCACTGGGTGTTAGAGCTTTAAGGGCATAAAACTTTTGTATTTATTGAGTTTTTATTTATTTTTTGAAAGAAAAATTTTTAGTAACAATTTTTTACATCTGGCAACGTGTAGCTACTTTGTGGGTTGGTATCTATGTACTCACAGAATTCAAGTTTGCAGAGATAAACCAAGTGTGTAACCAGTGGCGTATCACAAAAAATATAAAAAACTTCTAATGCATATTTTTTCTTTATCTTTGGAAAAATATTTTTTTTAATATTTTTCCTTTACTCCTTATGTCAAAAGGTATTCAGTAATTTAATATATAACATTAATTACATAACACCCTGTATATATATGTCATATTTTAACGTTTTTATTACGCCTCCACTTAAATATGTCTATCACAGATTATAAAGGTCTATGGTTCCCTTCATTTATGAAACGAAATACTAGCTGCAACCAGTATTACTTAGTTATATTATGGGTTGCATAACATTCCACTTGCATTTTAAATAAAATTCTTAACTAAAACAATGGACAACGCATACATTTTTGGAATATTAGTTTAATTTTTGTACCTACTGAAATTGTTCCATTAATTCGTCTTCATTTTATTTAATAGCTATTTACATACCATAGGAGGAAAATATTGCTTTTTCTCCCGCGAATAGTTTGATGCCCGACGCGAAGCGAAGGGCATTAAATATTCAAGGGAGGAAACGCATTTTCCTCCTGAGGTATGTATATAGTTTTTTCTATTACCTTTTAACGGTTTTAAGACATTTCAAGCGTTCCGGTTCCTTTTACTAACCCGGTATGGGTTATAAAATTATGACAAAATATTAAGTAGTTGTTGCGTTGACGACGTTATGTTGACAACGCTTTGTTGCTATGGTATTTTTGGAAATACAAACATAACAGTTTTTATAATCTGTCAGAATGTTTATCATAAATTTGAAATTCTTCCTACGTTTGAAAATAAGATCTAGCGAAGAAGACCTGCCGAAAGATCTTGCTAAAAAGGCAAGAATATTTTCTTAAAAATCGAAAGAGCGATATGAAACTACAAAATCAAATAGGGATAGACAAGGTACAAAAACTCTTGCTTATGTAAAATTGTTCAAAAAAGAGAGGGAGGAAATTTTTTTTCCTCCCGGGGAGGAAAAGAGTAATTTTCCTCCCTCGCTCGGGGGTGGAAAATTAAGTTTTCTAGTAAGGTAGTAGAAAAAAACTATTTTTTACCAACTTTATAGATAATTTTTTTTTATCTGGACTCGTGTTTTTTTGTTAGGTTGGTGGCTTATACGGTATAAGCCACCAACCTAACAAAAAAACACACCAGTCTGGTATAAGTTATACCAGTTTGACTTAGTATTTTTAGTATTTAAAAATGGTACTTCTGCTAAAGAATTTTATTAAATACTTTGACACTATCAAATTGGCAATAATATTTATTATTGATAATTTACTTCTCAATTATAAATAAAAAGATAATTATGCCAAAAATAATAGCACCGAATGTAAAAGCCCTTTTGAGGGCAAAAGTTCATTTTGATGAAATTATGCCAAATGTCACAATGGAAGAAAAAGTACATCGCCTTATGGACATTTTAGGAGTAAAAAAGTAACGAATTTGGTTTTATAAATATTACACCAAACATTATTTTTACATTATTCACCATTGGACAACATTTACGTTTACAAAAAGTTTTAATTTATTTTATATAAAGTCTTTTCAAAGCGATCTTCGAAGATTATTAACCGCTAGGAATACTTTCTCTTATGGGCCGTAAAGCAACCTATATTAAACTACTTTTTTATATGATTTTACTCATCCAAGCACCACAAAAGCCAAATTAATTGCATTTTTAACTATGAATTTCGACAACTCAACTTGATAACTGCACAATGTAACCTACAATAATTTATACATAACCACAATTAGATTTATAACTTATAGTTTGTTTCAATCAATGCGACCAACTTGACAACTGTATTTACCAACCATCTAATATATCTAAAGTTCATTTTTTTTTATCTGGACTGCGGCAACCTACTAGTACAACACGTGTTGTTTCGGTACAAACCAAACAGAAACAGAACCTCAGCGCCGGACTCCTTATGTAAGCTCCATGTGTCAAAAAATAGTCAAATTAAATCGACTAGAAAAAAAAACTGGGAACCCTTAAGTTATTAAAAATTCTATGGCTCACTCACCTTAATGCTTTTAAGTACTTACTTAAAATTGCTATTTTGGGTCGATAATAAAAACAAGTTTGTATTTCATTTACAATTTATTTGTATTGAATAAAATACATTTTCAACTTTTCATCCCGAAGAATCAGCATTTTTACAACAAAACATATAAAAATACGAGAATTTAAAAAAGTAATAAACATAAAAAACTACTTGGCTAAATATATTACAATTCTTTGGTTATACTAGCCAATTAAAAATAAAATATATAACAAAAATTAGCATAACAATTAAATGCTGTAGCATTATACTGACTGCTTAAAAGAAAAAAAGAAAATAAAATATCTACAAATATAAAAATTAAAGTACACATAGTCAAGTATGTCTAAATCCTTTTACATAGTAACATTCATGCAAGTCTGAAGTAAAACAAAGTATTCAGACAAGAGGAAGGAATAAGTAAGTAAACATTTATTATTTACAGAATAACTATACACAAATGTCATAGATATTTATTTTAAGTAATTTTTAAAATTTATATGCAATAATATTATAAATTGTATATATAATATATATTTTATATTCTCACATACCTTGTGATTTCTATAATAAATGCTACTTAAATCGTTTAATATTAGCATTACTAAGTAAATAAGTTTATATCAAATGACTACGTTATTGTCAAAATATCTTATATATTAGCTTCACACACTGGAAATAAAGGTTAGGTACATAATTTGGAATGATTTATTATACTTAATAATATAATTTAAACTCTGTTTAATTCACTTTAAAATATACTCTTATTAATTAATGGGTAACTGAATCACCGTCGACTTAAACTTAGGTAATCTTAGTTAAATGCTTATCAAAATTACTGGTAAGAACTTGCACCATTTGTTCATTGTATTGTTAAATTTTTTTATATCAGCACTACGTATTGTCATGTAACACCTCAAAATACAATGGCTGCTGTAGCTCGCCTTTTATTGTACTCTTTATAAACTAAACATAGACTACTTATTTAATTTTTATTACAACACCATTACGTGAGGTTAAGGAAGAATTACTAAATAAATTGGCACATTATACACATTGCAACATAAATCATATATCACATAAAAAAATCCTTTACATTTAAAGCTAACGAACCTATCGATCAAACAGCGCACAAATGTCTTTATTTTACTCGCTACATTTGTGCGCTACATCATCGACATATTTAAGGATAAAATAAAAGTATTTATAAAAGCTTTGGTGTTGCTATTTAATTGATCAGTCCTTAAAACCACGTAATGTAGACAAACATTTACGAGTCTATTTACATATTTCGATGTTTTAGAAACGGAATTAATTATCCAAATGTTCAGATAATCGATAATGTTATTTAAACTAATATGGCACTTGAAAACGAAAATTCACATGTATATTACATATCTACATTTGGTAATAATAAAAAAATATCTCAAATCTCCCAATCACAATAAACATTTTTATAATCTTTCACTTGACTAATTATTGGTAACTAGTGGCGTAGGTATTTAATTTGTGGATTGCACATAACGACTAAAAGGTATTTATTTGAAAATTGCCTAGCTGCCCCTTGCCTGCTTTTGACACCACCCTGTATGGTGGAAGACAACTGATTTTCCTGGCACCGTTAACTGTATACAAATGAGTATTATAATACAGGTACCAGACAATTTATATACAATCTAAGCTAAATCAAAATTTATATATAGGTAATAACAAAAAATATATTTAAATATTACTTAGTTATATTGGCACTTGTAAAAATAAACAACAAAATTTTGGCAGATTTATAAAGGAATTAAAAACGTCCCTTTGTAATGTGATGTAAATATGGAATTGCAGACTTAATATGGCACAAACTTGACAATCAACGCGTTTATAATATATAATTTGGATTTTTTTAAATAAAATTTGCAATATACAATATATAGAGTTACTTGTAAATATTCTAATTCTATATACATTAAAATAATAAAAAGGTATATTTCACCTATTTAATACATTACTCTCTGTACGGTTTACAGTAGGAATACCTGTGGTTCATGTGCTGACTATAGGATCCCGAGTGAGAAAATCTCTTTAAGCATTTCGTGCACTGGAACGGCTTTTCTCCACTATGAAGGCGTTTGTGTTCTGTTAAGTGATGCTTGTGTTTGAACGCTTTCGGACATTCATCACACTTGTGTGGTCTTTGACCTAAAAAATGAAGAAAAAAAATAAAATAAAAATATTTTTTTGTTTGTTTTTCGAATGCAGCTTTGCAATTTGGGACATATCTCGAGTTAGAAACCACCAACTTAATTGCAAAAGATTATGGACAGAAATAAGAAGGCAACCTTTTCGCCAAGAATTAATAAAAATTATAGAAACATGACCATTATCGAGTTATCTACGAAGAATCCACACTTTTGCGAAGAAAATAAAGTATTTACGATAAAAATCTTTGGTTAAGTAGGTACCAAAGTTATGACCGTTTATCTTCAAGTGGAAAAACAACTTTTTGTTTATTTTTTTACTATTATACTATATACTCTATAGTACGCGGCTTCATGGACTTCATTTCTTCTGGAAAAAAATAACATTTTTTTCAGAATTCTTCAGCCAATCTTCGATGATTATTAAATTCAAAGAAAGATAACAGACGACGGGAAAATCTTAATTTTTCACCTACTTTGTTATCTGACACAATAGAATAGATGAAAACGTTTTATCAACGTAAGAAATTGACATCTAGGATATTAACTACAACGTCAAAATCAAAATTGAAAAAAATCTTAGTAATTAATATATCAACGACAAAAACTTTCTTCCCGAATTAGATTGTAAATTCATTACATAAAACTACAGTATAGAGTCTATCCCGCGTTATCACAGATTTTTATTGGTTGGAAATTATATTTGGTTTCTCATAAGAAAATCAGATACCGAAAGAAAACAGAAGACTATCAAAAAGATCAAACTATTTCTAATAAACTGCTATCACAAAAATACTTCTCTAAAAATGAAAGATACCTAACTTTTAATGGGAGAAATCATTTTAATTTTTCGCCTATGTACTGAGTTATCTGGCACAACACAATAAAAGAAACAGAATCGTCAACCTAAGAAAATAGCCTATTGGAAACACTGTGCAATTCAAAATTTGAACCAAAAAACTTCAGTAATTAATAAATATAGACACAGTTTGAGGAAATAGCTTTTATTTCCTCAAAATGTATTACAAATGAATTGCATGCAACCACAATATACGGTAGTAATACGTAAGGTAGAAGTACAAAAATAAACAACAAGTTGAATTTTGCTACTTGCACATAAACTGTCATAACTTTGCCATTTATCCATAATTTTTTCGTAACCACTTTATTTTCTTCGTAAAACTTCATGTAGATAATTCGAATATTTCATTGATTTTTATTAATTCTTGAACAAAAAGTAAATGTTGCATTTTTAATTTTGTCCAAAAAAGGATTTTTTTCAATACTCCAGCTCATTGCACTTAAACTAGTCAACTAGTGGGGTTAAAAGAGTGATATTTGTGGGCAATTTAATTATGTTTTTCTCCTTCTATTGCATATTATTGACATTATTTGGGTTTTTTTCTGTAAATAATGGTAACCAATATGTATAACCGCCCTGCCTAACAACGGGAATAATGAACTTAATATTTACGTTGTTAGGCATCAGTGATTGGCTGATTTCAATATTCACTGTTATTTGTACCAATCGGGTTTTAAATTGGGAAAAAGTAAGGTTAAAAGATGTCAGATTTGTTTATATATACGAGGGGCGACTATAATGATCTTTAAAATCGCGAAAAATTTAGCTTATAATAAATTTTGTTTTCAATGAAAATTACTAAATAGCCTGCATTATCTCTCGTATAATAATATACTAATAATTTGACATCTTTTGGTCGTTTTTAACTCGAGATAGGACCCAAATTGTAATGCTATCTTCGAGAACAAACGAAAAACTTGTCAAACAAAAATTGTGCTTTTAAGTTAAACAGGCCAAAATAGTGGCACCGAATTTTAATTAATTAGTAAATAAGTTTTATTTAGAAACCTACCTGAATGTTCGTATTTGTGTCGAGCAAGAGAGCTTTGCTTTGAGAAAGCCTTATCACATTGGTCACAGCTGAATTGGCCTTCGATTTCGGACTCGTGATTGGACAGTACCGGACTGCCAAGACTTTTGAGCACAATCTGAGACACCTTGTTTCTCTTGGCGATGTTGGATAAATCCTCTTCGCTCATGCCATCGGCCATACTTTCGCCCCACGGTTTCTTATCGGAGTTCGGGCTCAAACTGGAGATTCTGTTGTTCAATAGTTGAGATAGACTCGGGAAGTCGGCACTGAATTGCATTAATTGATCGACTGGGACCAAACCCACGCCTGGCAAAGAGATTTTGTGGGAGGGTTGGGCGAGTAGGTGCGCTAGACGGCTGCTGTTGAAGTCCAAAGGGGAAGGGGACTGCCGTTGGTCCATGTTGGAGTTATGGTATGCGAACTGCATGTACGGATTCGGGCTTCTCGAGGATTTTTGACTTAGATTTACTACTTCGTTGTGAGATTCGATGTTGTGATGTTGGTTTTCCATGGAGGGCCTTGACGGGGAGCTTGAGGGGGAGGATTCGTTGGAATTCGTTTCTCTTTTCGTCGAGAGATCCAACGGTTGTTCGGAGATGTACTGGTTTGGCGAGAGAGGCATTATCTTGCTTATGGGCTGGGTGGTTATTATGTTGGGGTTTACGTATCTAGGTGCGATTGGAGGGACGGGGTTGAATGGAACCTGGATGAGTCGCCCCTCCCGTCTGTCTCTGGCCCTGGTGTTCTGGAACCACACTTGCACCACGCGTACGGGAAAGCCGATTGTGTTGGCGATTTTTTCCAAATCCTCCCGTTTAGGGCGAGGGTTAAGCCTGTAGTTATCTTTCAATACCTTCAATTGTTCGTCGGAGATTAGCGATCTAACTCTAACTTTTCTGCCGTCCTCTGAGACGTGATCGGTCGTTGTAACTGACTCGCAGTCCATGTCGTCGGTGTTGTAGTGGATCCTGTCGTAGTCGGGTTCGTCGGTGCCGCTTATACTGCCATTGTGCGCGTCGTCGGATTTTGAGGTTAAGGCGTCTTCCAACTTGGCTGCTAACCCTTCGCTCCTCTCGTCCTCGCATTCTTCCTGCTCCATTTCGGAGTTGTGTTCGAATGCCGTTCTGCCCTCGCACATTTCCTGCTTGGGCGAGTGCGGAGAAGAAATACTGCGACTTTCGCTGCTGGGACTTTCCGACTTAATTTTTTGCATGTTTTCGTGCAACAACTCCTTCGTCACCGTGGCATTAACAGTTTCCAAAATACGTTTGACGGCTTCCAAATCGCCTCCATTCGCGTTGTTCTGTTCGGTCACATTCAATTTTTCGGGGCTGGATCGGTCGTGCTCGACATCTTCGTCCATCACCAGTTCACCGCAGCTAGACGATCTGGATCTCAACGTGTTTTCGCCGTCGAATCTCTCCTCTTGTCCGTCAAAACTCGGTCTGGAATCCCGTTCGTTGGTTTCTGTAGCCGAACCTTCGTGTCTCAAAGGCGAAGCCGCTTGTTGTTGTTGCTGCTGCTGCTGCTGCTGCTGTTGGTGTTGCTGCAGTTGTTCGAGAAGATGATTTAACGACGGCATTGTGTAGGGATTGAGCGAATGACCAGCATTCAAAAGTCCTGGCGGAGTTAGGTAGAATGGCGGAATGTTGGGATTTCCAGCTAAGGAGGACTGCAGATATGCGGCAGCCGCGGCCTCTGAGAACTTGGGGAGAATCGGTAGATATGAATTATGATTCGGACTACTTTGAATGTTATTGTTTATCGGGCTAATGTTCGATCTCTTAGGAATTCTATGGCAGTTTTTGTCTAGCAACGACGTGCTGGAAGGTGCCCGGGACCTGCCCAACTTCAAGTTCATTACTAGACATTTTTTGGAGGTCATGTGACTAGAATAGGATCCTGAATGGGAGAACCTTTTTCCGCAGTTTCCGCATTCAAACGGTTTTTCACCGCTGTGTATTCTTATATGTTCCTGAAAATTGAAAAAAGTTATTATTATTTGAAGTAACAATAAAATTTTGTGAAATATTTACCTTTAAATGATGTTTAAACTTAAATGCTTTATCACATTCGGTACATTTAAATTTACGTAATACGGCACTCTCGTCGTGACTGATCATGTGTCTTTGGAGACGGTATACATTTGCAAAGGTTTTGTTGCATATTTTGCAGCACTAAAACAAAAGGACGCATTTTATTAATAAATCTATTTATAATAATTTATAAAAAGAATTTTTATCGCATTGTTTGGTTTTTGGCTAGTTAGTGTTAGGTAGTAAATAAAATAAAATGAGCAATTAAAAATAAAAAGAGCATTTCTTGGATGCCCCATTACAACGTCACGTACTTTAACTCTTTCACACGCTCTGTTCATCACACATGTGGTGTCTTTTTGTAAGCGCCTGTCATCATATTAGATGTGTTTCGTGTACTCAGTTCAAAATAATCCATTAAACCTCTTATATTTATCTCTTAAAAAATTTGATTGATTAAAAATTAGAGTACTTTTTTGATTTAAAATAACCGTCGTCCATTTTAAATTGCATTTGTACCATATTTCTCATACCGTGCTAATTTATATCAATTAATTTATGAAGCACACATTTATTAAAACGGTTTTCTTCCCGCACTGCTAAGGCTTTCTCAATTATTTCAAGTGTCAAAAGTCATTGGTTGTTTTAATTGCAATAATGGCAGCAGCAGCGTTTTAGAGCTCCTCTTCTTGATTAGTGTTTGACTCACATTAATAAAAAGGTTACAGGCCGCAAGTCAACTGGTATGTTTACGTAACATCGGTAATAAGATGAACAATTGGTTTGTCCTCACAGCTGTGTCAAAAATTGCCCCTTATTAAAACTAATGGGTTCATATAAATACAATCAAATGTTAGTGTTTAAATTTAGACCAATTTTCGATTGATTTTTATGAGGTATTTAAATTTAAAACTTACGACTTGTGCATTTGGACTGTGAAGAAGCTCGTGTTTTTCCAATTGGTCCTTAGTGGTGAACGACGTGGTGCACTGCGAGCAGCCGAAAGGACCGCCGCCGCCGGCACTGGACAAGGAGGGGGTGGGGGATATTGCACTGGGTATGGTGCCGCCGTCCGAAGACGCTATCAGCTCCGAATGGCAAGTTTTCATGTGCTCTTTGAGACCTTGGAAGGTCTGGCAAGTTTTTTGGCATTGGGGGCACTTTATGCAGTAGTCGCCGCTGAACTCCTCACCCTCTTTGCTCACCTCGTTCGGAAGGGGAGGAACTGAAAATAAAAGTTTGTATTAGTTAAGCAAGCAACTAGGTTTGTTTTATGACTGTTTAAAAAACAGTTAACGAAACTGGACCATAGGAATGTTTATAGTAAATACACTTTGAAAGAATTTTAATATTTTTATTAATAATTAATAATTTTGGGTTTTCAAACATGTTAACATGATTTCCACATGTTCATACGATACGATATATGTATATTAAGGATAATTTTATGTATGGGTATTTTTTTATTTGAGAATTAGTGAGAAAAAAAAATAAAACCTTTCAAAACCAAAAATCGTTATAACTTCGTTACATTATTAGCCCACTAGGTTTTAAGTTACTACCACACTTTTGATTTTCTATTGCCGCCATATTGGAATTTAACATAGTTATTAGATAGTATTAAACTTATTACATAAGTTATAGCGGACATTATAAAGATGTAGATACATACGATACAATATATGAAAAACTTACTTTTTTTTTAATTTCCAGAAACAATTTGTGGTTTTGACAAGTTTTTAGTTTTTTTAAATAATTATTTTAAGAATCGCTGTTTTTTTTAAATTTTATTTATATAGGCTTGTAATTTATCTGATGTACCTATAACCAAACTTGTAGCTCAAATAAAAAAAAACAACATTAGGGTGGTCCCTTAACATTTTTTGGGGCACCCCTTAAAATGGTCTTAAATTACGCACAGAAAAATAATCTGACCATAATATATTTTTTGATTGACATTACCAGGTGCCTATAACCTCTTTTCACTTTTTAAATCACAAATTTGGGTGATATTCATTATGGTTTCCGTTATTTCCCAAGATTTTTTACAGTCTAAAAACAATTTTGAAAAAAAGTCTACAAAGATATGTTTTATATATTGTTGCCTGTCTATTTATTAGCTAGTTAAGAAGGGTTAAACAACAAAAAAAAAATTTGTTTCAAAATTTTTTTAGTAGACAAATAATTTCGATGATACCTACCTACCAAAAATTGCGATTCTGGAGGGAAAAAGTTCTTATAGCCTATAAGTTATAGGCACTTCTAATTTTATTAAAAAAATAAATTATGGACAGATTATTTGTATGTACTTAATTTGGGACCATTTCACTGGGGGCCCCGAAGAGAATTGTTTTAAGGACCACCCTAGTCTACGTAATGAGGTAAATATAAATCACATACGTCAGAACAACAATTAAGTGATTTATTAATACTTCTTTAAAAGTGTATTGTTAAGATTGGAAAATACCTAAAAATTGGATTACATAATGTTAACAATCTTATACCAACAAATTGCGTATTATTATATTAGTATAACATTTCCTCATATTTACATTATAATTGTATACTATTACCATATATATAGAAACTGATAATATTATACCACATCCTTTAAATTAAATTAAATATGTAGGTAACAAATTCCTTGTGGAATTACAAAATTACATAAATTAACAATTTTCCTGAACTTGCGAAAATATGTAGGTATTTCTTTGAAAATGATAATTCTTAAAAAGTTATAATTATCACTGCCTATAGGAAGTGATAATTATATTAAAAATTGAGTTATACCTACCTGATAAAAAAATAGATTTTGTTAATAATACCTAGTTACTTTCTTCTGGTAAAATACAATGAAAATACTTTAATTTGAAAAAAGTATAATTTTTTAAAGCTTATATAATTATATTTTATATCCAAGTACTATTAGTCATTTTTTACTCTTAAACGATAAACGGCGATATTCAAATGCATCATAGGTATTATGTACAAGGTAATATTACTAACAGAAGATTATTCGGAAATAAACAATATGATATTAATATGAGTAGATTATGTTAAAAAACGAAAACTATACAGATTAAATTAGTAAACAGCATTTATCTAATTCGATTAAACCTTCGTCTATGATCAACGTTCCGAGCGTGTAGCGCGGGTTGCCTACATTTAGGCGAGCGGATTTCCCATGATTGTACGAAAAGAGTATTTATTTTGAAATTAAATTACCTATTGTTATTTGTTTGTAGTGAACATAATAGGTATTTTCGCTATATATTGTATTTTTGGGTTTTAGTTACGTAGATTAAATGTTACTTTTAAGTTTGTAGGTTTTAATCCACACAAAAATTATTAATTAGATTTCAATAATACCTACTTCTAATTAGAATATTAACTATAATAATATATAGGTACACAACGTATTGTCTATACATTTTGTTTCATTACAGTTGCACACTGTTTAGGAAATATAAGAAGAGGTAAACTTTGATAAGAACGTAAACATATATAAATGTACCTACGTAGGTACGAGTCAAAATGGGATGGTTCCAATAGTTTACATTCTACCTTCTCCAAGAAAAGGTGTAAACGAAATTAAGGACCGCCCTTTTCACCTGTATAATCAGGTAGAACAGGTGTGTGAGTTCGGTTCGATAAGATTACCGCGACGGCCAATGAGATTAAGGTAATGAAAATACCTGGTGTATCCAATAGGACAAAACTCGGTAAAATAAACGGTATTTATTTGTTTAAAATAGATTTTTTGAATTTGGATAGAAATAAAATAAAATAATGGAAATGAAAATACCTGCTCGCATGTTTTTTGTATAAGACGCCATCCTGTTAAATAATAAGCGTTAATAAAGAGACAAATTTAGCGTCTCAACACCTCTTCTAAAACTCAAGAACTTTGGCAACTTGATTGACACAAACGAATAAGTTCGCGGTAACTAGCACGTGCAAAACTGAAGAAGCTGGCGCTGGCACTTGAATAGAGCGGTGTACACGTAAATGTTGTCGAAAAACAAGAAAAGGTGTGAAACTACTCACGTTGACAGGTGTTCCATACATTGGCCAAACTCCAAAGTCGATAGGAGTAACTGTCGTAGCACCCAAACATGCTTTCACTACGCGCCACCATAGCCGACTGAGGCTGATGTGCAACACGGGCAATACGCTAAGCTACACTGTGTTGTGATGAGGCATCCCTTCTTTATCGCGACGCCGCCGCTTCGCCTCCCCCCACCACCGGCGACGCGCGCCTCGCTCATCTCTCTACCTACACGTAGGATGCTCTACCGTCGTTGCGTTGCATCACCGCCCCCAAATCTGCCCGTTGCCTCTGCCTCTGCCGATATCAAGTTGACGCGTGCGATCCGATACCACTTTGATTTGAATCACGAAAACCTATTTCTATCCATACATGGATCAGTTATCTTTTGGGTACGTTTGGAAAACACTTTCATATAAAGAAAGCCTAATTATTAATGCTAACAATTGTTAAATAAGACTGCGTACTCCACTGTTTAGGCATTTTTAATATCTACAATTTTGTTTATTTGTTTCTGGATATTGTAAACATTTAGATTGAAAGTAAAAAGCTCATTTTAACTTATGACAATATTTTTGGATTTCTTAGTTTTTGTATATTTTTAAGTTAAGTCCATGATTACATTTTTAAAAATGATAATTTGTATTTTTATTTAAGTACTATTTCAAGCGATAGTTTTACTTACAAAAAAATATAAATGCATCTAAATAGTTGTGCCGTTTTATTTTATTTTGTAACAAACCAAATTATCTATTGTTTGAAAAGCTTATTGCACGTTTTTAAACTAACATTTTTAAATTTGCACGAATTTTTGGGCTTTAAAAATAATAGGGGTATCTACATTAGGGTGTCCGTTATTTGGGCGATGTGCGAATTTTTTTGCTCGCACCCCCCAAAAAGTTGTAGTTTGGGAGAAAAAAAATTTTAGTAATTTTTTTAGATTATTTTTTTTTAATTAACCCGTGCCGCAAGAGGGTTAAAGATTTAATTATTGTTAAAATATGATTAAATTTTGCCTTTCACTAGAGGCTTACCACTCCACGATTTTTCAATGAAAAAAGTCTGTCGAGTGGTTTTCTTATAGTTCAAACACCGCTGAACCCAAATCTGAAATTCGTCTTTTTTTTTCATTAATCGTTTTTTTAGAATAGCCTGTGTCGGGAGTAGGTAAAATCGCAAATCGAATGAAAAATGGGATTAGGCTCTTTTCACATTCAAAGTCCTGTAACGTCGCCAGTTTTCAATAAAAAAATTTGAAAATTGGTATACTTATGGTTTTGACATCGCTAAACTCGAATCTGACATTTTTATTGATGACAGCTGTCAAAATAGCTGTCAAAAGTCCCAAAAAACGGTTTTTTATTAAAAATGACCATTTTATGGTTATTTCATGCGCTGAATCTGCAGACACAATATGTCGTTCAAGTTGTAGAGAATTATCAAAAACAATTCAAAGACTCTACAAAAGCTTGTTTAATTCAGAATATGTAATCTGTCTTAGATCATCACCGAAACAGTTCGATATGGTTGTTACGAATGTAAAAGAGTAGACTCAAATACTAATAACTTATATAATAAACATTTTTATAAATTAAAATGCACTTTGAAGTATTTAATTTCATAAAACCGACATCCAAATCACTCAATAAAATGTACAAATGATTCAACTGTCAAATTTCAAGTTCCAAACATAATTTTACAGTTAGTTTACAACTGTCATACATCAAAACTAATATACAATAAAAATATTGTAAAAGTCATTGAAAAATGAATTTTTTATTTTAAAACAAATGTTGATAGTCAATTGACAGCTGTTTGACAGTTGTCAATTATTAAAAAAAATTATTTTAACATCACATTCAGATTCAGCGCATGAAATAACCATAAAATGGGCATTTTTAATAAAACCGTTTTTTTTGGAATTTTTGACAGCTATTTTGACAGCTGTCATCAATGAAAATGTCAGATTCGAGTTCAGCGATGTCAAAACCATAAGTATACCAATTTTCAAATTTTTTTATTGAAAACTGGCGACGTTACAGGACTTTGAATGTGAAAAGAGCCTAATCCCATTTTTCATCCGATTTGCGATTTTACCTACTCCCGACACAGGCTATTCTAAAAAAACGATTAATGAAAAAAAAAACCAATTTCAGATTCGGGTTCAGCGGTGTTTGAACTATAAGAAAACCACTCGACAGACTTTTTTAATTGAAAAATCGTGGCAAAATTTAATCATATTTTAACAATAATTAAATCTTTAACCCTCTTGCGGCACGGGTTAATTAAAAAAAAAAATCTAAAAAAATTACCAAAATTTTTTTTTTCCCAAACTACAACTTTTTGGGGGGTGCGAGCAAAAAAATTCGCACATCGCCCAAATAACGGACACCCTAATCTACATATCGTCGCCTTCAGGAGAAAATCACGTAACTCCACATTTTCATTAAAATGGTATTTTAGTGGCATCTGTTAGATAAAACTGTAACTAATTTATATGCAAGTTACAGATGTCCTAAAATAAACCGTTAATTTTAAATTTAGAAAAAGAAATATACGTATCTCCAATCGTGGAGGAGCGTCCAGGGAATAATGCCTAACTCCAATATACAAATCAGTGCCATTGACAAGTATAAGTTATTGCCTAGTTATTTTTTCTGTATGTAAGTATGAAAGATTGTATAGTGTGTAAAGTTAAGGTACCATGAATAATTTAAGGTTACTTTTATTAACATAAAGTACATATTGGAGATACGTAATTTTCCATTAAACAATTTTTTGGCGGTAATGTGGAGATACACCAATACACCTTTAATATGTTTTTCTTTCCTCCTGTAAAATTTTACAACATGGAGTTAAGCAATTTTCTCCTGAAGGCGACGATATCTTCAATGAAATACATTGGCCTCAATTTCCTCGCAGAACCGCCAATCTGATTTTAATAATTTTTTTTATTCTGATTTTAATTTGACCAAATACAGGGGCAAAAGTAAGAATAAGTTTTTTTCCCAAAATTTGTGATTGCAATTTTTTTTTAATCGATATGATTTTTTGAGAGAGCTCCTAAAATATGACTAACTAACATATTTTTATATATGATATAGGAAACTCGAAAAAAGACTTTTAATTGATATTTTAGGAAAAAAGTTAGGTATTCTTACTTTTGCAGCCTGTATACGCTCAAATTAAAATGTTTACCATAGCATCATTGCTGAAGAGTTAAACTACATTTAAAAAATCGTCAAAATAAGATGAACGGTTCGCAAGGAAATCATCATTCAAATTGTTGCTAATTTCTGTTGGCCGGTTTTTTTGCCGGTGAATGTACTTTAGCAATTAAGACATTGTTAATGTATAAAGTATAAAAACACATTTTATATAAAATCATAGCTTAACAGATTTCTAAATTTTTTAAATTTTATAGTAGATGCAAGATATCCGTATTCTCCATTTTTTTCTATTATTCATTAATTCCCTGAAAACCATAAATTGCAAAATAAATTCAGAAGCGATTAGATAAAAAGAGTTAGGTGTATAAATTTTTAGACAATTTTAATTTAACACTTTTAATACCTTATTATCATCGTTATAAATAAATTATATGTCCACATACATTTTTCTTGATATACACATGTTGATTTAGATCTACGTTTGTAAGGTTATCCAGGTCATCCACGCGGATATAAATTTCATATACGACACAATGACCTATTTAATCCCGATAAGTTCAATACATAATTATATTAACTTAAAAATTATGATCTTAACAAACATTTTACCCCTGCATACGTATTAAGTGAAATCCAAGTTTTAATACAATAGCCTAGGTCAATGTTTCAACAATGCGATAAACAGCAAACACTGAATCAACCGAACAATATTTTTATCAATTGTTTGCACAACCTACCGAAATTTCTTTATATTTATTATTTATAATTACCTGCCTTCACAACAAACCTATCTGACAGTGCTTACACTGATTGCTTTGACCTTGTACAGTACTTTGCTTTGTGATATTTCAATGCGATGTTGTGTATTCTTTCGAAGAACAATGTAGCGATAAGCAGGATAAATAATTAAGGTTAATAAGCAATACACATTTCAGGAACAAAGTACAGCGATAAGATTTTAACTATCCAAACAATAATTAAAGATAGAATGAAGCTTATAGGTACTAACTGCCTAAGATGTTTGAAAACATATTTAACAGCAGATGTCTGTTTTCTAAGAAATTAGCTAGGTAGGCGCCACTTTTATGATTTTTGAAGTTTTTTTCCGTTTTTGATTTAAATTGAATGTTTATCATAAAAACTAGATTCTGCAGTTTATCTAATAGAGGATTATTATTGGTAATATAGCCATGAGTCCAATTCAACATTATGGTATATTATGTTTCAAGTTTTAAATTAGATATGAGCGAGCTTATGAGTGAGTGTTTAAATATTATTAATTAATACTTTTGCTAAACATGAAATACTTAATATAATCTAAAAAATTATTTAAATTAAATAATTGTACAAAGCGACACCTATACGAAAATATTTTTGACGCAATTGTCACCATTAACATTGCCCGTTAGTAATTTTAATTAACCTTAACAATTATTGATACTTTAAAATATTAAAATAACAAAATATGATTATGTTAAAAAAAATTTATCATTTAATTTTTTTACTACTAATAATTGCAAAATATTATCACAAAGTATTAAAAATTCTTACACGGGAAATGTTAAAGGTACAAAAAGTGACAGTTGTATTTATTGTGAATCTCCCGGCGATAAAAAGTAAAATTTTTCTGTGTAAATCAAAATTTATCCCTTAAAAATAGACGATATAAACTACTTTAAAGTAAAAGTGAACAAAATTATTTATGGAAACTACAAGCAAAATTTTTAATTCTTCAAATATGGGCGTCAAGAAACCATTTAATACTTTTGGATTGAGATAATAATAATGTGGTGGGAGTAGAAAATCAAAATTTACTATTTACTTACTTATTGTGTTAAAATTTTAAAGCAAATAAACCAAAATTGGCAAAATCGCACTCAAAACAAACTCGGGTGTCAAAATTATAATTTACGGTCATTT